GTGGCGGCCCGCTAGCAGCGCCGCCTCCCACTGCACGATGCGCAGCTCGCGGCGCTCCAGCCGCGCCCGGCGCGCCTCCAGCTGCTGACGCCGGTACGCCTTCTCCCTCTCGGCGCGCTCGTGGCGCACCGCGTGCAGCACGTGTGAGAAGTACGTGGCTGCCAGAGCGAGGGAGTGGGTCAGAGAGGCAGGTCACAGACTCATGCGCACCGCTCACGGCCGTCCACCGGCGATGTGATTTGGCTCATGGGCCCACGAGAGTGCCAAGTATAAGAGAAGTGCGTGGGCAACACTCAGCACAATGGTCCACGCCGCTGGACTGCCACATGTGGATAAGTCAGGACGTTAGCAGATGGAAGATATGCCTGTCCGTATCTTAGCAAAGCAATGAACGTGTCGACGAGGTCTGGGTGACACCAGACCATCGTCCAAGAGCCAGAGCGGACCCTCACCACCCCCAACCCTGATCTAGCGACAGCTGCACAGGTCAGCATCCGGCGGCGACCCGGCCCACTCACGCTTCTTGCCCCTAGCGGAGCGTCTCCGGCTGACCAGTGACGTGTCGACCACGGCCTCCGGTCCCTCGGTCGCCTCCAGGGTACACTGGTCACGCAGGTCGCTGTGGGCGGACACGTCGGTCGTCAGCACCGCGCCACAGCCACTGACACCGGACGCGCGGCTCGACGTCAGACACGGGGCAGCACGACCCTTCAGACCGCCTCATCCAGGCTCCATATCGGATACCTTCCGGTGGTAGAGATCATGATTTAATAGAAGCACACCAATGGTCCTGGTGTTTTGTCATGTTCAATACTTATGACGACGCTTTACACGCGCACGCACGCACGCACGCACGCACGCACGCACGCACGCACGCACGCACACACACACACACACACACACACAGATACGGCCTTCAATGCATCTGGAGCTAATAGTGCAAGGAAATCGGAAACGTGCCATTGGTAAAGCTAAACACACGGTTTCCAATTTAGAACTGGCGCTATCAAATTGGAAGTGGTAAAAAGAAAAGAGATACGCGCACCCCACCAATGGAAAAGAATCGTCAGACGTCGCCTAGCCGCTGCGTGGCAGCGGACGTCCGTGGTCGGAGCCGACCGGCGAACAGCGGTCTCATGTCATGTCATCCATATACTACGGATTGTTACATATGTGTGACTTAATGTTTTATCCGAGTCAATGGGTTACAAGAAATGCGATAAAAACGGAGATGCGGCGCTGATGATGACACTCAAGAGCTTGAGAAAGACTTGCAAAGTTAAACAGAATCCTCTTTTCACAATGGTCAAGTTTAGACGTGACCGCAGCACGGCTCCGGGAGGTCATGACGGCCGGCGGCAGGTGTTTCCGGAACGAGGCCGCACATTAGGAAAATACCCTAGGCGCCATAGACAGCCGGGAAGGGGGCAGCTCCAAAGCGCCGGCCACCGCCTATCTCGTGATGCGCTCACAGCGGTCCGAAAGGTGAGCAACAACCAGACCGCCACTAGGGCAGGCGGGGGTCGTTTAGGACCCTGAAGACGCCAATGTGGTCGTGACACGTAACAAGGTCATTGACCCCGCGCCAGCCCAGCGCCCTTAAGACCGGTGAAATATGATCTGGACCCCCGTCTCCGAGACGATGCTTGTCGCGAAATTCCCGATTTCTCCGCACCGGCCGAAATAGCAGGTAGCAGCCCCGCTCCAGACTGAGAGGCAGACAGGATGTGGTGAAAATATGGATCTGGGTAAGAAGCTACGTGCTTCGGGTGTGAGATGACGAATTTTGCACAGGCAAAAGGAAAGAGTCGCACCATTTTACTAATTTAGAATATGCACACCTCCAGGACAGGGTACCATCGACGGTCATTCCCAGCATCATCACGGACGGCGAGGGGCTATTATGAAGTTGGACAAGGATGAAGATGAAGGATTTGGTAAGGTGTTTTTTTATGGCCTGGGGCGTGCCGACTAGAACAAGGGTGTTCTTGGTAGGGTTCATCTTCAGGGAATTGACAGTGAAGTAGGATTGGAGGGCAAGGATGGCTTACTCCGACGGGATTTCAAGGCGGACAAGTGGTCGTGGATGGAAGGAATCAGGGAGTTAGGCATCACCGGTGAGGAAAACCAGACGCGCGGGGGCAGGTAGGATGAACGGTCGTTAGTGAAGATGCTGAAAAGGAATGGATCCACAGGGACCTCTGAGGGACACCGTGGGAAAGGGGGGAGGAATAGTGAACCACCTCTCGCCACCTGCCGCAGCTGCAGTCAGCAGTCAGCAGTTTCAGTCCACCACCTTTCGGATATTTTCGGAAATATAGATAAAATTGACATAGACCTTACATTGCTGGCAACGTCACGTGCACCGGACTTGTTGAAGTGGAAGAACCGAAATTAACTTTTAAGCACAGGTGACCACCCGGTCACGATGGAAGAATTGACCACATGACATAGGTGACGTCCTGTGCCAGCAAAAGCTTTCGGCGCAAGCAGCGGCATACCACCGACTCCAACAGCTCTAAATAAAGACAATACACTCACAGCCTTCGAAAATTCGGCGAGATCACATGGTATAACGACTAGCCGGTCTGTGGTTAGGCACGATGGTCTCGGAGGGATAGGCGGACGCCATGGCGTGCGCGCCTTCAGCTCGGCCGCGATTTTGGACCATGTCATGTTCACTGGGGTTGTACGACGCACTCAGCTGCTGAGCTATATGGCGTCGCCTGCCTCTCATCCTGGCAGGAAGGGGCGGGCACCGCGGGGAATCGAACCCTGTACCTCTGGTTTCCCAGACGGGCAGTACGCTACCGGCAGTACACTACACTACCGGCACCCACGATTTTCGGAACCAACTGAGGCGAAGTGACGGCTAAGATCGTCGGGCCAACGTCGGCGGGCATTACTTCCCCGGCGCTACCTCCCCCGCCCCACTCTCCCTAGCGAGGCTAAGCCCAAATCACGCCCGGCTCGGCCGGGCGTGATCCTTGAGAGTTGCGGTTCTCGATCTCGATAATTCCTGATGCGTGATTCTTCAGCACCGCGCCGCCACCACGCCCCGCCGCTCCACTCACGGCTCCATCTGGTCGATCAGCTGCTCCATGGTCTGCTCCAGCCGGAGCGCGCGCCGCGTGATGCTGTGCTGCGGCCCGTTGTAGCGGTAGCAGTTGCGCAGCATGAGGCGCAGCTCGCGGAACAGCGGCGTCAGTGAGGCGTAGGCCGCCGTCCAGCAGGCGGTCCCGTACTTGCGGCGGCGGCACGAAACGGTCCGTCAGCGGCCGGCTGGCACCGGAGCCGCCGCCAGCTCCGAGCAGCGACAGTCACCGCCGCACGCACGCCAAAGGGAGTGCAACGGAACGGCTGGTCCATGTAAGGTAGAATCCAGGTGGCGACCCGCGACGGTTTGAACTACGACAACAGCACTATCGTCACGCAACATTGCAAAGACACGTTCGGGAGAGGCTAGACCGAAGCTGCTACAACACACAGCGCGCTGCATAATGCGAGTGTGAACGCCGGCAGAGCGGTATTGGGACACTGCAAGTACATTACCTTTCTTGAGCCAGGTGGGTTCCTTGATGATTGTCTTGTAGTCCCACAGTGCGGCCCTCGGCGTTCACAGCGTTCATGAACGGCCAGTTGAAAGTGCGATTCGCCGCAGACATCAACTCCCGCAGCACTCTGAAGCGTCACAATCCGTGGCACGACCGGGCAATATAAGCGAATGACAGACACGCACAAATGTCCGCGACTAAAAATGGTCGGGCCGGCCTGCACAAGCTTAGCTGGTTACTAAGATAGGACGGCGTTAATAAACTTATTCCTCGTAAAATAACCAGAAGAATGAACAAATAGACACAATGATATTTCGGTTATATGCCTGAAGCACAAAAACATCTCCAGCATGAGCTAGGAGGCATAAGAACCACTTCGCGCTCGTCCTTGGCCTATCCGTGGTACTCCAGCTCCATCTCGTGGCGGGGACCAGTATCGCACCGCATCGGGGCGATCCTGCCCCTCCCCAGCTCCCTCCCCCCCCCCCCCCCCCCCCGGTAACCTGACATAACGAGGGGACGGGGGAGCGCAGCATCACGTGGTCGCCCGACGGTGCCTCACCTGTATCCCTGGTACAGTTCCCCGCGAGAGGCCGGCGGCGCGCTGCTCAGCCGCACAGCCGGGCTCGACCGGCAGCGCGGCCGGCACCGGGCACTCCTCGGCCTCGTCCCCGCTGGAGCTGGCGTCCTCCTCTGGACCGTCGGCGGCCGCCACTTCCTCCTCATCCTCCTCGTCATCCTCGTCGTCCTCACTGAGACCTGGCGGCCGCAGCGCCGCGTGACTGGTGACCGTCTCGGCCGACGACTACACCGAACCCCGACCTTCAAAAGTTAGACCTATCAACATATCGCTCCCAATTTGAACACGTTCACTGTTACAGCATGCTCTCCAGATTTGTGTGGTTGCTGCCTTTGTCCCCGTTTTATATTGTGCCGTGATGAGTGAGCTAAGCTTGTCAGTACGCTTGGTCCTCTCGGAATTTGATATCCAAGATTGACTCCCATGGCGTTTTTCCCATAGGCTCTTTCACTGTTTTGAAATAGTCGCAGGTATTTCCTCCAGGTGGCAAAGGAAAACGAACATGGCACCTAGGTGTAAGTCTTCCCGCCGTCTTAGTGTCATAAATTTACTGACCATCCTCCAACTTCGTTTGCAGCAGCTCACCTACGCCTACCGGCACCGCCCCTCCCCGCTCGCCAGCTGGGCGAGATGGCGATGCTGATGGCCCTGCATTTTACACATGGGTCTTGCAGTCATTAAGTTATTTTTATTAACTGACCACCCACACAACAGCGTCTACACCACACAAATACATATGTACTGACCAGAACCTTTTGCATATAGGACATCAGTTGTGTGTATTCCTCACCATTGTATGTGTTGATGGGGTGGGCCGGGAGCCATGCTATCCATGGCTGGTAACCTGCAACACAAAGGCTTTCATGAATACCTACAAACTTCCCAGTTACTTCATCATGTTGCATTTTAGGAAATCACAGCACCACAAAAACAGCTACTTATCTCTCATTTTAGGTTTGTTTTATAAAACATAGTGGGTAGCTACGAATCTTTGGGATTAGAGGGGCCCCAGATGCCATGGGGGCGCCGGAGTCGCGGCTGATCACGGGGCAACCAGAGTTGTGGCTGATGATGAAGACACCCAGGCATGACTTTGACTGGACCACTGCTGACAGGCAGTGGTCCAGATAGGGACACCGGAGTCATGGCTGATGGCGGAGACACCAGAGGCCGTATTTGATGCCGGGACCAGTGGACTGAGGCTGATGACAGGGATGCCAGTCATGGCTGATTGAGGAGCCACCGGGCGTAGCTGATGACAGAGACAAAGGGGGTCATGGCTGATTACAGGGGCACAACCAAGGGGAGGGCAGAGGTTGATGTGCTGTGGTTGATGATGGGGCCACCAGTCATGGCTGATCATAGGGATGCCAGAGTTGTGGATGATGACAGGTCACAGGGGTCATGGCTGATGACAGGGCCGCAGGTTGTCACAGCCAATGACAGGACTGCCAGGGTCATGGCCAATGGCAGTGCTGGCAATTTTGCAGTTGATGGCAGGACAGCTGTGCTATGATCAATGGCAGGGGGGACAGGATTATAGCTGATGATAGAGGTGCTGGGGCTATTGCTGATGGCAGTGTCCCCAGGACTACACCCAATGTTTACCAAATGGCTGCTTTGGACTCCCCTCTTTTAGACCTCAGCTCACTATTGCTGTTGTTCTTGAGCTTTAAATATGCATTTAAAACTGAGGTTATTTTTAGTTGAAATTTCCAAAGGCAATGTATGTGGCAGGTGCAGGGAAACAAGAACTTTGGCCAGAAAACAGGCTCTACACCTGCAACTTTTTGGTTGCAGGTGCACCAACAACACCTGCACCAAGTTAGCCCCCACATATTGTCTATTCAGCCCAAACACAAGCTTAGACTAACCATTTTGTCAAGCATTGCCAATACTGCATGCAAAACCTATATAATTGTATTAGTTCTACAATCCCAAATGGCCATCATCCATTTTACTTATGCCACAGGGCACAAAAGAAATGCACCTAATACATATAGCTGACAAGAAACAGTAGCAGAAATTGAGGCTTTAGGCTGCTTCGGCCATGCAGTCATGTAATGTCCACACGCAAAAAAGTTTGAATCTTTTTAACAAGCAGATGGTCAAGTACACCAAATTATACAAATTGCTTGATGGATTAACATGGGTTGAATGCATCACTCAAGGTGAAAAACTTGAAACTTCTATTAGAATTGAGCATCTACCTTAAAGGATGCTCACTGTGACATTCAGTCAATTGCTAATATGCCTAAATATGTATATTTTACAATTGCAAAAACATATTGACCCATAGAAAGGTTGCTATTGGAATAGGACATTATGAAAGCAATTATCATACGGATGTAATGCAATGTAGCATCCACAAATATACTAACATGCAGATGTCCTGAGACCATTGCATTTAGATCCCTTCCTGATATGAAACATTCATGGTACTAGGGGCAAAGAGAATTGATACAGCAACTGTTAATGACATAGTTCAACTACACGTGCACTTGCAATCATCAGACAGACAATATATAACCAATCTACTGGAGTATGAACAACCACGTATGCACCCAGACGCTTCAACATACCAAAATTACTCAGCATCTCGTTGATCTTAACAGAGAGCGCTACTTTGACTTTCCATGCACCCTCAATTGGGGCCCAAGCGACGGCACCATTGCAGCCGCAACCACAGCGCATCGCTCCTCACCGGCTAGTGCTGTACCCACGGCGCCTGTGCTTACGGGTTGCCTATTCAGACCGTCCGAGGCGAAATTTCAACCAGGACATGCCACTACAAGCACGACACCCATTACGTTGTCGACGGAGCTAGGGTCTGTCTGCGCCAGAAGTGAATCCTTTGGCGTTAACCACTTTTCATAGCGATATGAGACAAAACTAACTACGAATAAAAGGAGTCAAGGCGCTAAAATTGTTAATTTTTTCCGTTTAATTTACGTTACATGAGTTCTACAGCAACGCTTTTACGTTTGAGATAAATTTTAAGAATATGTATTATTAGTAGCCTGCATTTACTTAATGTGTATAAGGTGTGTTTATTCCGCCACATATGAAAATTCCATTGCAAGCAAAAATGTGCTTCAAAGCTACCAAAGTACTTTTTAAGTGGCTTCAACTTACGTCATTCACGAAGGGCGAAAAGCAGGACTACGTAACTAATCCTGCGCAAAAACCGGCTCATCCCAAATAAGTCTGGAGGTCACTTAAGAGGGGGGAAGCGTGGGAAAACTACGCATTCGCAATATTCCTTTAATAGGCTAGGCAATACGAAAGACATGGTCAACTAGGACCGTCTTTGAAGACCACAATTTATTGCATAGATGTGGGGGAAACCGTGAGCAAATGCTTAGCTACTTTGGGTGCTGGGCCTACCTTGTCGTAGCATTACTCGTACGTACCACGGGGCTAGGAAAATCTCGTGGTGAATCAGTTCCCATCATACTTTCGTACCCAATGACGATTCAATCACAAAGTACAGAAAAAGATCGGTTAAGGCAGGATCATTGCCGCCTAGCGGCGTTTCGAGGGTGCGGGGAGGCAGTGTGTTAACTACTAGTGACTCGTGACATAGCGACAGTTCCCAAGTAAGAGCAGCACATCCAACTAATACGTGTTCTACTACCGTAAGCCAGGACATTGAATAGGCGACTGTGGGTGAGACGAGTGAGGCTAGATCCCAAACGCACCAAGACCACTTCACTCTGCCTGCTCTCCTGATGACAAGTCGCTCATGGTTGGAGTGTGGGTTTGATTCGATACACGCGAAACATCCCACCGATTCCGCAAACACCAAGCGAAACGTACTTTAGTTAAATGGAGAGCATCGCCGAATACCAGAGACACTTCTAGAGGCGTTGCTAGACGGACACCTTCGTTCGCAGGAGGGTCGGAGAGGGCGTTTCCCGCGATGCTACAATGTCCCGGTATCCGCAGAAAGGTCACGTGTTGGTCGGCAGGTAGCGAAAGCATTATATTACGGATGCCATACACTCCCGAGTGGTTGAAATCATCGAGTCGCTGAAGGGCCTGCAGCGATGCCTTGGAATATGTGCATGTCGTAGGCTTAGGAATATGTTTGACTCTGATATGTAGCAGCACTCTTTTTATAGCGTTTACTTCCGCAGTAAACACCGTGAGAACTCCGCAGACACCGTGCTGAAGTCTGGAAGTCGTCCGGTGAATCGGAAGTCTGTACCCACGCTGTTGCACCTGCCTGGTCACCACGGACAGAACCCATGAATGTAAAAGAAAACGGATTCGGCGTACGTGGTGACAAACTCCAGGAAGACAGTTTGTACCTCAGCGGCAGAAAATTCCGATTTTTTGTCTAAATTGATACCCTATTGATAAATCATTGTAAAGCCAGAAAAGCGTCAACGGAGGGTTACGACCAACACTTATACATAGGATGTCAAAAGCTCGTCGCGTCTCTAACAGCGTCGGGCAGGAAACGCGACCTCTGCTGTTGTCTGTATGGGTG